TCGGTTTCATCATGCTCCAAGTGCCAGTTCAACTCCACAAATATTTACTGAATATCTATTATGTGAATGGCATTGTGCCAGGGTGACGACACAGAGAAGAAAAAGCCAGTCTGTAGCCTTTTATGGAAAGACAAACTCTACACACAACGATAAAATAACAAAAACAAACACAGGAGCACTGGATATTAAATGCCATAAGAAAGGTACAGAATACTCTGGAGGATTACAGATAAACATACACAAGCAATACTGCTTAAAGGTGGTACTTGAGAAACAACCTCAAAGGTGGCATGCTGATAGGACTCCTAGGAAAAGAAAAAGCGTTTCAAGTGTAGCCTAGCATGAGCAAAAATAAAAAGGCTGGGGACAGTACACAATTTTTTTTCAAAGATCATCCCATTTAGAAATGTGTAGACAAGTAAAGAGAAGTATGATAATACTGTGAAAGGTCTTCAGTGATAGGCTTAGTATTTAAGTAGGTTTAGGAGAAAGTCTTCTTATAACAATTCAAATTACTTTAGAGATTCCTTAATCTTTTCTTGAAACGTCCCTATTATGTATATTTTCTAATGTCATCATGGAAATTAGTGATTTCCCTTTCCTATAAGGAACAAGATACAAAAAGTGAAATCGCAACAACTAAGGAAGCATGCTGATGGGGGAGAAGGCATAATCTCAGTAAGTCTAGCCTGTATTCCATACTTTGGGGACTATAACATAGGGCTTAAAACAGACACATGGTCAAATCCCAATAGCTAGAACAGCAAAATCAAGATGAGGGTAAAAAATAATAGCATTTATTAAGCACCTAGCACCAACATTGCACCAGGAGATTTACATTTAATATCCTTGTTCTACCCAACAACTTCATTTAGAGTTGGGGAAACTAACTGAGCTCAGGGAGCCTCAATAAATTGCTCAAGGGTTACCAAGCCAATAAGCTAGTAAAATAGACACCAGTGTTGAATCCAGGCCTGTCTGATCCCATGTTTTCTCCATTGTTCACTGTTATTTGTTTTCCCAGTACAAAGAAAGCTGAAATGGTAGGATCACAATGCATGTGTCAATGAAAGGGGCTGAACATTAAACAGAGGAGCTTGTATGGTCTGGAAGAAAATTAGGCTTAGAGATCAAGACCAAGAAACATCAAGTTTAGGGCTGCTTCTTGATCCAGTTTGAACAATAATAATAATAACATAGATCTTATTTAGAAATACCAGAGGAGCAAAATTCCACTTTTAATTTGTAAACTAGAGAGGGAAACTCCAGGGAAGATGAACATTTTGACTGTATTCAATGTATTCCAAGTCCCAAGAACGGTGCACTCTAAACTTTTGCTGAAATAAGGAAAAGTCATGTAAGGAATATTTTCAATTGAATATCCTTAAAGGCTATGAAATAGACAGTAGAGTAATAAGCCTAACAATCATTCAAGCTGTTAGAATACTTCCTTTAAACCTCAATCCCACAGCAAAACCAAACCAAACCAAACCCCAATCCCCCTCAAAAAAACACTCCACCAAAACAACAAACAAAAAAAGCAATAATTATGAAACATTAGCATGATTTTACAAAGAAAGGAAGATAAGAGAATGAAAATAGACTTTTGCCTTATGTATAGCATCTCTGTGGATAATCAAATTTCAGTTAGTGGATCCAGAATTTTGACCTACTGTTTTAATATTTCAAACTGCTGTGAGCAATGTATCCAATGACTGCTTTTTGGAAAAGATAATGGTTATCTAATCCAAGTGCTCTAAAAAAAATGGAAAATTTCTTTTTTTTTTTTTGAGTTGGAGTCTCACTCTGTCACCGAGACTGGAGTGCAGTGGCCGCTCCCGGCCACTGCAACCTCGACCTGCTGGGCTCCGGCGATCCTTCCGCCTCACAGCCTTCCAAGTAGCTGGCACTACAGGCGTGTGTTACCACACCCGGTTAATTTTTTTTGATTTATTATAGAGATGAGGTCTCGCCTGCCCAGGCGGGTCTCGAACCCACGGGCTCAGGCAATCCACTCACTTCAGCCTCCCAAAGGTGTGGGACTACAGGCTGAGCCACCAAGCCCCGGCTGAAAATTTTTTTATTATAGATGGCAAATAATGGAATGAAAAACTCAAATTCATTAACTCAAAGAAGTAATAGAGAACACTTACAAAAGTCTTTATTTTTCTAATTTTGATACCGTGTTTCTATTAGAACATGCAAAGGAAAAAAGGCATTAAGGGGGAAAAAAAACCTTTGGAAGACAGCAAGCCACTCTGCACAGAAACACTTTTAAAAAGGATAAAAATAGGCTCCATGGAGTTTCCCATTCTATTTTTCACAAGCTTTTCAAATATTTCTTCTTTGATGGAACCAATGAATAACTGCCACTTATCACAAAACATCTTCTTTCAGATAGGAAATTTATATATTGCTTTCTTCTAAACAGACAGTTCTTCAAACTGCTCAAGTCTTTCAGCTGCAGCAATTTTCCCCACTTCTATTATATTGCATTTCTTCCATGGCATCTTATAAAGATCAATTTAATAAACTATTTTACTTTCCAAAGACAGGTTCCAAAAGGCAACACTACTACAGTATCAATATCTTAACATCATTTTCTCTATTTTTTTTTTTTATTTAGTTCTACAATCTTTCCATACTTCAAATAATTCCTAATACTATGGTTTTATCTGCCAGGGTGACGACTTATATTTTCTTCTTTATTATATTAATATAGAAGATAGTGAACATTTTTTCTTTAAACAATTAATACTTAGGGCAGTCTACATGTCCCTAACCTTCTATTAACAATAACATAGATATTATTTTGTCTCAATCTTTCAACCACTGCAGTAATTTTATGGTCTTTCAAAAAGTAACTCATACTTGATTTTAGGGTTTTAGACTGATTTTTAAAATCGTAACATTTGGTTTAAAACACATTTTCTTTCTTTCTTTTCTTTTCTTTTTCTGAGTAGGAGTTGCACTCTGTCGCCCAGGCTAGAGTGCAGTGGCATGCTCACAGCCACTGCAGCCTCGACCTGTTGGGCTCAGGTGATCCTTCCACCTCAGCCTTCCAAGTAGCTGGAACCACAGGTGCGCACCATCATGCCCAGCTAACATTTTGATTTATTGTAGAGACGAGGTCTCGCCAAATTGTCCAGGCTGGTCTTGAACTCTTGCACTCAGCCAATCCTCTCACCTCTGTCTCCCAAAACGCTAGGGTAACAGGCATGAGCCACTGTGCCCAGTTTCTTTTCCTTTTGGAGCTGGGATCTCTCTGTCACTCAGGCTGGAGTGCAGTGGCCTGATCACAGTTCACAGCAGCCTGGAACTCCTGGGCTAAGGTGATCCTTCCGCCTCAGCCTCCCAGTAGCTGGGACTAAAGGCACATGCCCCCATGCCTGGCTACCTTTTTTGTAAAGATAAAGTCTTGCTATGTAATCCAGGCTGGTCTTGAACTCCTGGGCTCAAGCGATCCTCCTGTCTCGGCCTCCTAAAATGGTGGGATTATAGGCATGAGACACTGTGCCTGGCTGTGAAACACATTTTCTATTGAGCTCTAAACCAAATAGCTTTTTAAAAGAACTAGAATTAAAATAATTGCAGATTCTCAGGCTGGATTAAGTACAATCCTAAAGAAAAAAATACACACACACCTTATTCCTTTAAAAATTCTTGCAAGACATTACAGTTTTCTGTTCACTTGATAAGACTTCCTAAAATTGCTGAGATTTCAAAGTAACCACCAAATAGGTCGATTCCTTCAGGATACACACCCAGTCCCCCAAGTATTGTGTTACTTGACAACAGAAGCCAAAGAATAAAAATTGTTGAGTGTTTATTGCCACATCATATAGTTTCTTATAAAACATGAGAATACAGGAAAACAGAAAGTTCTTATTGGTCTTTTGTCCTTCGTGAGTCTCATGACTCTTCATCATGATTTAAAACTACAAAGAACAGATACCATTTTCTCTCTCTCTCTCTTTTTTTTTTGGAGACAGTCTTGCTATATTGCTCAGGCTGGTCTCGAACTCCTGGCTTCAAGCGATCCTCCCGCCTCAGCCACCCAAAGTTCTGGGATTACAGGCGTGAACCACCGCATCCAGCCCAGATACCATTTTAAAATCAGTGCAGAAATGAATTAAATTATAAAATACAACTTTCACAAATGCTACATGCAAGCTACATGTAAGAATTTTCGAGGCTAAGAAGGTTGTTCTCAGACACAGGACAAAATCTGTAGCCCCAAGTCAACAGATCTAAGAATTCAGATACCAATCATATCCATTAAGGTGACACCAAATTTGAGGTATGACAGTTTCATTCTTGTAAGATGAAAATACCCCATGATTTATCTCAAATAGTGCTCCAGCTAATAAATCATCCCCTTAGACAAACAGCTACAGTTCATGTTGCATGTCAAGGCCAAGAGCACCACACCTCACTCGGTCAAGGTTGGACTTTGAGGGGGTCCAGGAGATGCAATTTATGGGTAACCCAACAAAGTATGTCCCCCTAATAGAGACGAGTGGAGAATGCTAACAAGGGGGCTGGGCTTCTCTGAAGAAAATATTAATAAATAAAATCTTGTTGGGGAGGATATTTTCCATCTTCCACGTGGACGTGAGAAACTGACATCCATTCTGCCCGCAGGCCGGGGATGGGCACAACTCGGTGGAATGACCTAACTTGTCGCGTAAGACACAACCCTAAGGCCAGCAGACACGGTCTCTGCGAGGGGTAGCGACCACCATCTTTCCAGACCTCACCAGCACTGGAAGTGGGCTGGACACCCCTAAACCAAAACCCTCCTCCCCACAGGAAGTGAGCATGTTTCCCCCTCCTCCAGGAGGGCCTGCCTCCCCACCCCCAACCGGAAATGAGGCGCCCCATTCAGTCGGCCCCAAACCCAGACAAACCAATAACAACCACCGCAAAAGAGGGATGATCTTCCAGGAGTGAAGGGCGTCTCGACTGTGGCCACCCCCACGCTCGCCTTGCTTACTGACCTGCTGACGATAGGGGCGGACAGAGGCCTAGGGGCTAAAGAAAGTCCCTCGCACAGAGGACAATTCCCTCAGCCCCTCTCAAGCGCCTTCGCTCTTCGCACTCGTCGTCTCACAGCCTGAGATGCCTCCGCAGCACTTTATTTTGATGTCCTTTCTTTCCCTTTCCCTAACCGCTTAACCACCTTGCCATAGGCCACTTCTTTTATCGCAGTGACATGTCAAATGGTTCCGATGGGGAGAAAAGCGGAATATTATTCTTTGTTCCTTCAGAAGCTTGAAGGGATTATTTTGTCCAAACGCGGCGTAGGACTACGTGCCTACGCAAGGTGAGAATGCTTTCGCGGAGACCTCTGGGAGTTGTAGTTTCTTTTTTTATCGCCAGGGCCCGCAGAAAGTGTTGGGACTCAGATTGGTAATTACTACACACTGGAGTCCTTGAGGACACACATTCTGTATTCGACGACGGCTGACAGCGGACGCCGGCGCCCAAATAGGCCAAGACTCTCGCCCTTTTCCTCGGGCGTTTAATTGAACCCAAATTTCCCCTCACGCGGGCCCAAGGTTCTTGTCGCCCCGCCCCCGCCCTT